ATTGATTTGTTGTGGGAACATGGAGGACTTTGAGACTCGACAGATTTAACGTGCATCAGTCACCATTTACTACACGGGGAGTCTTCGGCCGGCGAGGATCGAACCCACGACCTCTTGGATATGGGCCCAGCGCCCTACCGACCAGGCTATCCCGGCCTTTGCTTTGGCTATTGCTGTGTTGTGTGATTCGTAAATGAAAATTGGAAAGCTTAGATCACAACATAGCATTTATTTTAAATAACGCAAAGAATAAGAACGCTATTACAAATAGTGTCAATTAATTTAGTGTCAACAAATTAATTTAGTGTCTCAAAAAAAGAAGAAAAGAAATCAAAACGTAATTTTTCAGCTATATTAAGTATAGAACAGTCTCACTTTCACCCATAAGAACTTCATTTAATGCTAATAATCCTTGTTCAGTGAATACTTATGCAATTCTGGATTTAAGGATTCTCGACACCCCCTCACCCTGGTCTGTCTTCAAGGGAATAGCCAGTTGTAGTGGACGCTACAAGATCTCTTCCCCACACCTCAAAACCACACAGTAACCAAACCCACACAGATTTCTTACATATTTGGCGAGAACGAAGTTCTTCCTGATGAAGTACTATATCTCCCTCGTTTATCTTAAGTAGTTTTCTTGTGTTTCTAACTTCATGATACCCAGATAGCAAAATAAGGTTTATTTTCACTCAGCAAAAACCTTTTAATGTAAACCTGAAAAGGTTTTTAATGCGGTTTACGTGTAAACCTTTTAATCTTGAAACAAGATCTGTGACAATCTGCTCTATTCTAGGCACATTACCCTAATCCAAAACTTTGGAAAACAACCTTCTATATAAAAACCTTAAATCGAGGTTGTCTAAGCGTGAAAAAATCCTTGAACAAAGCTAGTCTTAAGGTAAAATAATCTTAAATCTAGATAATTGTAAGGTATCTTTTCGCAACGTCTTGTATACTCAGCTAAAATCCACCTTGTCATGACATTTTAATGGACAATGCAGTTTGATTCTATCGCTAGTGTGACGTCAACTAAAACGCCATTTTGGACCTAAGTGACCATTTTACCTAAATGACAATACTTTTTAAAAAAGCTTTAAAAAATAATTTTTAATCCTTTTAGGATGAAAGGTTTGAATAAGCAATATTTTTGCTTTATTGAAAAAAGGTTTTTAGTACAAACATTTTCGGGACAATAAAAACAAAATCTCGACACAAGGTTGCCCTAAGGTTAAACGCTTTCTGGGTGGCTTTTTAAGTCTAATAAATATTTTTTAAACATATCTCTCAAAATGCAGTAGAGACTTGTGCCATCTTAAAGTTGGTCGGAAACGAAGCTAATTTCTGACCTACGAAGAAATGTTTTTGTGTCAACACTTCAATTTGGTCATCAATTTCGTATATTGTGACTATTAATCGCCGCTTCAATTCAATTGTGTACTAATTTTCTTACTACAGTAGGGAACCGATTATCCGGAACGATCGGGACCATCGCTATTCCGGATAACTGATTTTTCCGGTTTTCTGAATCGCTACAAAAAGCACTTTTTTTTATTGTTAAACCCAACTAAAAAAAAAATATTAGGAAATAATCTTAAAAAGAAGAAAAAACGATGAAGTAATACAGTAATGATTATTTCTAAAATGATGGTATGGTAAACATCTTTCAAAAAAGAAAGAAAAATCCTAAAATCTTATGAGGAAAAAAATTTTTTTTTAAAAAATAGCGGGAAAATTTATCGAATTTCGTTCCGGTTTTTTGGTTTTCTGATTTCCGGATAACGGGTTCTGTACTGTACAAATATGATTGTCCTACGGTTTTGCACAAAAATTTTTTCTCGGTTCTAACCATACCCTCCCACCATCAAAGATGGTAATATGAAATTGCATATTGTTTTTGACACATCTTCACAGAATTTGGGAAATCCTCTTCTAAATGATGCTCTCGAACAAAGACCTAATTTATTACCAGATATAAATGGCAACTTTATTACGATCGAGGCTGCATCTGATGGCTGTTTCAACTGAAAGAAGTCAGGCTTTTTTTCAGTTGATACCGTTATGTTCATAATTATACCACTTAACGTGATATGAACTCGCCAACATCGATGAATGGTTCAAATTAAATAGCTCTCAAAAATTCGTTGAACTAACTAATATTATCCCGGCCAATGAATAAATAAAAAAATATTAATCAGCTAGTAGCATTTGTTAATCGAATTCTACAACAGATAAAATTCTAGAAGGGAATTAATGTGGCGTAACTACCACTATAAATCTTAAATACCAATTCACTAGTATATAAGACATATTAACTTCACCCAATCTGGAGGTACCTTTTGATATATGAAGGTTGACGGAGTCATATAATTAATCCCTATACTGTCAATGATTTATTATTTGATTCGCATTCGGTAGTAATTTATTGAATACTAATTTCTATTATATATGTAGACGGTGTATTTAAATTCCGGCCTGATTTTCGATACCAAACGTTTAAAATTTTTATTTGCAGTTTGATCATTTATCTGTGTTTATTTATAGTTTGATTTATTTATCTGTATTTTAGGAATTCAGAAAGATTCCTGCACGACCCCCAAACGATCTCAAAGTATAGAAACTGGCCACACACCTATGAAAAATCGAATCAGTGTTGCTAAGGTAGCTGATGATTCGGTAAATAAGTCTGCTACAAATAGTAAAGGTAGTCGAAATTCTAGTACTTCCAGTTGTGACTCCAAAGGAAAAACTGTATCTGTAACTCCACTTCGTGAGAGCACAGCTCCCGGTAAGAAATTTCATTTGTAAAATACAGGGTGTTCAAAAAATACTGCTTTGAAAATATCAATTAAAAGTAACTTTCACAATAGCGTACTTGTTGAAAAATCATGATCTTAAAGTAGTATACCTACTTACTTAAAAATCTAATTAAAATCTCCATAGAATAATTTTCACATAATTGATTATGTAGTACCATATCAAAAGTACTGGAAACAGAAGTTTAATACAAACTCTTATCTATGGTCAATTAGTTCAAAAAAATGTGTATTTATGATTTAAAAAAAAATCTTCATATTTTGAGTTAACACGTAAGATGTACTAAATAATTAAAAGGAATCATTAAGCAGGTGAATATATTAAAGTATAATTGAAATAAATTGAAATTAACTCTAAAATTAGTACACCAACTTATTGAAAAATTGAATTACAACTTCCATAGAAGGATTCTGAAATAATTGTTGATGTTGAACCAAAAAGTACTAGAAACATATTTAAATATAAATACTTATCGACAGTCAATTAATTAAAAAAAGGAGCATTTATGATTTTAAAAAAAAATCATATTTTGAGTTAAACACTCAAGATGTAGTAAGTAAGATAAGGGCTAATCATTTAGTAGGTGAATAAATTGAACTATAATTGAGATAAATTGAAAGTAACTCGAAAAGTAGTACACCAACTTATTGAAAATTAAATTGCAACTTCCATAAGAGGATTCTCAAATAATTATTCATGTAGTACCAAAAAGTACTAGAAACATTTCAATATAAGTTCATATCCACATGTCAATTAGTTCAAAAATCAAGCATTTCTGATAAAGATCTTCATATTTTGAGTTAAACACTTAAGATAATACTTACTTAATAATTAGTGGGAATCATTAAGAGGGTGAATGAATCGAAAACGAAAAATATGGGGTTTGCAAGAAAGTAATTTTGGGATTTTAGTGTGAAATAAAACTCAGTTTTTACTATAGAAAAATGAACTTTAATCAATCAAGCTTCTTCCATTTCTGTTCAATTATCTTTCGCCATCTTTTTCGTAATTTCATGATCCTGTACCCATAGAACTTCTGGTCCTTATCAGCAAAAAACTCAACTGAGTGTGAATTGAGATCATCGTTATTATTGAAATTTTTACCAATTAAAAAGTTTTGTAAACTTTGAAATACTTCGAAATAATCCGATGGTGCAAGGTCGGGACTATATAGAGAATCGCAAAGGAATCTCACACATCTTTGGTAACACGTACAAAATCATTTGAGCTTGGTCGGGTTGAGCTATTCCTCGATTTAGCCCCGACTTTGAGCCATCGGAGTACTATTTATTTCAAAGTTTACAAAGCTTTTTAACTGGTAAAAATTTCAGAAATAACTGTCATCTCAATTCACACTTGGTTAATTTTTTTTTGCTATTAAGGACTTTTATAAGTCAGGATCATGAAGTTACTAAAAAGATGCCAAAAAAATCATTGAACAGAATTGGAAGATATTAGACTGATTAAAGTTCATTTTTTAAGGAAAAAGTTAAGTTTTATTTTACACTAAAAAAACCGAAATTACTTTTTTGCCGATTCAATACTTCCGATGAATGCTAAAATACATAATTTTGTGTACATGATTTTAAGGGGTGGAGGTAATTGGGTGAATAGTTCGCGAGAAATATCAATTTAAAAAGTCTAATACAGGTGTAAAACCAAAAAAAAGAAGAAAAAAAACTTATTAATTGCGTACTGTAATATAGTAAAGAAAATAAACACTATTGCTAAGTGTATTCAACTATAATTTTGTAGCTGTAACTTACCGCATATTTAGTGGGAGTAAGAGAAAATAACCGTAAGCTTTTTTTTTTTAGAGTTTCAAATTTTTTATTCTTTTTCTGACTTTTACATTTTATGTCACCGTGTTACATATCTGCAACAAATACAAAAAGCATATGCTTTTTACCACGAACGAATTTCGAAAGACGATTTCGGCAACTATTACTATTACTATTTCGACGCATATTGTTTAACTGTTTTTATTGTACATGGCGATAAGAGGTAATTTTTCGAATTGAAGTTCAATTTGTTGCTAACAAAGATGCACTCGTTTGTTTCAGAGATATGAATCTAAAATTTTTGAATTATGACTGAATCGAATTTAATTGAAATTTTTGAATCTTTATGTTATTTTTTAGATACAGAAATGAAATCATCAATATTTCGTTATTTTGCATAATGCTGTAAAAATGCAACAAGCCATTTTTTTTATATTAATTTTTAATTTTATGAAGTAAATGTTTCATAATTATTTTTCAAGTGTTTAAAATGTATTAGCCATTCTAATGTATTGACTTTTTCGTTTCAAATCAGAGGTGTTAATATATGAAGGATTAAATATTTAATTATTTTATTCATTTAGTATCTACTATATCATTTTTCAGCATCCACCATAGAAGAAGCACCATGCATCAAAAAAGAGGTGAAAAGCTCCAGATTCCGAGTAGAACAAATTAATGTCCAAACTGAAGCTCCTATCTCTCAAACGAAAATAACTCATCCCGTTAAGCCTATTAGAGATTCAACGGAAGTACAAGACAACACAGATAACAACAGTACGTTCATTTAAATTAAATAAAGAGGAAAACCTATGTGATTTTTTTCAATAAAAAAAGGTTTCGTAAGTAAATATTTGAAGGTAGGCGGGATAAAAAGAGCACCGTAAACAAAAGCTTCAGAAAAAAAAACCGGAAAAATCACCGGAAAAGAATCATTTCATTAATTAGAATGAGAGCAGTGGTAGATCAGGGTATAATATCGTTCTTGTTCTAATGAGATGAGCTGGGTTCGAATCCTAGTCTGATCTGGCTGGTCGATTTGAATTCTGCCCCTGGCTCGCACCGACCACAGTGCTAACGTAAAGTATCCACAGTGGTTGGCAGATCATGGATTAGAGTCCCCTTGCCATCAGGCTAACCGTGGGAGGTTTTCGTGGTCTTCCTCTCCATGTAACGCAAATGCGAGTTAGTTCCATCAAAAAGTCCTCCAAGAAGACAATTTCTCCCAACACTTGATACTAGATTTCTCTTGTCTTTTGGATTGGGTTCAAAATTACAAGGCTACAGAGTGACATTAGTAGTAAAAAATTGGGTCGACTGTTCACCGACGGTTATAAAATGGGAGCAGCGGTGGCTCAGGTGATAGTTCGTCTCCCAATGAGGTGACCCAGGTTCGAATCCCAGCGGTAACTGATACGAATGTTGCCCTCAGCTCGCACTGACCGTGTAACATTTCTTCAGTGTAGCATTCAGTTGTAATATGTGATGTAACATTTCTTCAGTGATAACGGATCATGGGTAAGAATCCCCTTGCGGTCCAGGAGCTCCCTTGTCTTCTGGATTGGGTTCAAAATTATAAGGCTACAGAGTTGAACACTGATAGTCGTAATCTTAGAATTGGGTATGCTGTTCAATGTTGGTTATAAAGTAAAATTTATTACACTAGGGAAAATATTTCTGTAGTATCGCCTAATTCGGTTACACGGATTTCAAATCTAAAATTTGTTTTGCTCCTAAAGCTACAGATTTTTTATTTCAAAATGATATTTTTAGTCTGTTTTTACGCTGAAATGTACCAGTGTAAAAACATTATGTATAACAGAAGGTTGCATAAATGTTGCGACAAACTTCTAAGGGAGTTAAGGCACATCATCGAAACTGAAACTGCACAGAAAATCATGCTCAAAATTGTCGTCATACGTGGCAGGGATTATTACCTATTATGACTTGTTCAGAAGCACCCGAAGAAACAGTTCATAATAGGGGAAGCGCCCCTAACTGCTTATGGCGATGTTTCCGAGCATGGGTTTGCAATATTAATCCTGATGATCTGCCCTAACTCCCCTAGAAGTTTGTCGCAACATTTATCTGACTCCCTGCCATATATAACGTTTTTAAACTTTTACATTTCGGCAAAAAATGTCATTAAAAAAATTTGGAGAGAGTAAATGATTGCAGGTTTGAAATCAGCGATGCTAAACATCGAAGAATTGCTAAAAATTATGTAATAGAAAAAAAGTTTTGTTTCCCAGTGTTATTATATAAATGTAACGACCAACTCAATTCGTAGAACCCGAACTTAATGCAATTAAATAGTTCTCTGAACTTAATTAGATATTTCTGTAAAAATAAATTAAAAAGGATTAGTTTATAGCTAACCGGAAAAGAATCCTCACTACTTCGTTCAATTTAACAAATTGATCAGTACTCTTCAGAAATTCTAAAATTGTTCTAAATTTCACTAATTACACTTATTGTAATCACTTTTATTATTATTTTTAATTTATCAAAAGATTTAATCTATGAGTAGGTAAACTATTTATAATATTGCTATTATACATTATATAAATGTATTTACAATTAAAAACATATTATAAACATAGCAAGCATTAAAAGTTCCGTTCTATCAACTACAAATTAAACTTTGTGTTCTAATAATTTTTTTAAAAAATATTTAATTATGATCGAATAATTATTTAATTAAGTTAAATGGCCCAAATGAAATCGGAGGTTACATAAATGAGTTGTTCTTTTTTCGGGTGCTTTTTTTGGTGCTCTTTGGTCCAAAATTTTTTTCCGGTGCTTTTTTCCCGTGATTCATGTCTGGATTGCGTAGTTAATAAAAATATATGTATTCATTTTTAACATTATTCTACATGTTTCTAACTAAATTCTATATAATTACATTCTACATACATTTATTCTTACAATGTTCTACATACTTCAAAGTAAATTTGAACTAGAATTTTTTTTAAAAATTATGCATATTAGCAACTAAAAATATGTTTAGATATTCACCTTATTCTACATGCTTCGAGTTAAACTTAAAATACTTCGTAAAAAGATTATAAAAAAACCCTACATAATGCTAAGTGCTTGTAGTTAAATTTAAAATCATAAAAAATTATGCTTCATAAATAAAAACATTTTGTATTCGTTTTTACATTATTACACTTGTGTTTCAAAATAAATTCAAATACATCAGAAAAATTATATATAATAAATAAATTATATATAATAAATAAATTATATATATTTATTTTACAATGTTCCATATGTTTCAAACTAAATATAAATTAAAATATTTAATAAAAATTATGCATATTAATAAATGAAAACATATCTGTTACTTGATTAAAGACATCCTTCGTTTCAAAAATATATAAATTTGAAATAACAGTCGACATGTTTTTTGTGCTCAAAAATTGATGCCCATTTTCAGGACTTGCCAGACGTGAATGAAAAAAACAAAAATGATTTCTCACCTTTATTTTTCCATTTTCCGTTAGCAACTTTATATTTTATATTTCAAAGCACTCTTCACATAATTTTGTATTTTATAACAAAATATACATAATAAATAAATTACATACATTTATTTTAACATGTTCTACGTTCTTCTAACTAAATTTAAATTAAAATATTTAATAAAAAATTTTGCAATATTAATAAATAAAACTTATATATTAGTTCAAAGTTTTAGTTTCATTAAGTGTCTCAAATATACAAAGATAGTACATTTTAGTCTGAAATATTAAAGTTATAGTTGTATCTCCATCAAGTGCAAAGTATCATATTTTTTTAAGTAAAATACTCAAATTATATAATCTCAAATACAAAGTGTATAATAGAGTGTAAACTGAAATGAAACAATGTATTTAACATTATGTAATTCCTGATAATTTTTTTTTATCAGATGTAGGTGAGGTTGCAGTTACAAAGGAAGCAAATACAATTTCGAAACAAGTGGAGGACACAGTTATGCCTCAGTCTGCCGTAGAAAAAGTGACGGAACCGGAAGGAGACGCCCATAAGCCAACAGCCCCACCTCGAAAAATGTGCACCCCTAAAAGGAAAGCCCCTGCACCCCCACCTGTCGTCTCCACTAAAACAGAAACTTCCGCTGTGGTACACAGGGCGGATGATCAACCCCCGGATATAACGGTAAAATAAACATTTCACGCTCATTGCTAAATATAGATAAAATGATCAAAAAGTTATATGCATCGTCATAGAACCGTTACAGGGCAAAATTAGGACATTTTGCTACTATCCCGTGGCTAGAGTGCCTGTATTGAAAAGAGTGATGACAATATCCAAGAGCGCATGCGCTACCGTCATATTTTTGTCCAAGGGGGTTGCCAGATGATACACCGAAATTGGCGCCACTCGCTCATTTGGTGTTGTTCTGAAGGTTCTGTTATTCTAAGAGTATATACTAAAGTATCAATAATATAAACTTTAAGATTGGAAAGCACATGCGATATTACAGATTTTTTAAGAAACATAGTCGAGCATCTGAAATTGTTAAAAAATTAACGTCAATGGAAAAAAAAAAAAAAAAGACTTATGAAAAGATTTCAGTTTTTAATAAATGCCTTAAATAAAATATAAAAATTAATAATGATTATGCCATTTATTTCAGAAATAGTAATTAATAAAACAAATTATATAATTTACTATTATTTATTACTTTTTCAGGAAAAAATAATCGCATATTCACCTGAAAAGGTATTGTTTATTTCAACAAATTGTAAACAAAAATTTCCATAATTAGTTGAAATTTAAAACAAACTAGAATTTTAAACAGTTGGTAACGAAAAGTAAACAAATGCTACTTTGTAACGCGCATTGTAACATTGTAAAGCGAACATTGTAACGCGCCAACATGTCAAAGTAATATCGCCAAACTTTGCACTTCTGAAGTTTTGATAAAGATGCTCAAATCTTAAAATTTATAAGTAATTTAGATAGAAATTATGTGTATTAAAAGTAAATACATTTATTCTTATCTAACCATTAGTTATTTCATCACCTTGTTCTCTCTACAATGAGATAAACATAACTTTATAAGCACGCAAGTAAGTGATAATAAGGATAAATTCGAATAACTAACAACTATTCAAATTTTCAGCCATAATTTTAACATTTGCTGTAACTGTGAAGTTTCTTATTGAAAAAAAGTAAGTAATGAACTTATTACATGCATTTATTAATGCAGAATATAAATTTTTTTTAGTCAGATAATTTTCACTCCGTGTAATTCCAATGGCGAATTTTCCACTCTCGCCTCCGGCGGTAAAGTTTTTCTTTCCACCAATCAGGAATCGTTTCTCCCTTGTGCACACTCTTTTACTCTAGGCACTCTACCCGTGGCTAGTTGCAGCTTTTTTACCAAAATAAACTTTTAAAAACAGGTGGACACTTTTTCAAAAACTGAAAATTTTAAACAATTAAAAAAACTTTTGATAATGTAAAGCAAATCTTTTAAAGCTTTTTCCACACTGTCAGAATTCTCATTCTAAAATTAAGGTAAAATAACCGTCAGCAATCTGTCCTGTGAATACAAAACTATACGATTTTTTTCACCATTTACAACTAGCATTATTTTAAGATTTTAAAACCGTCTAAAAGAAATTTAACTAGGCGTTGGAGATACGTTGTGGTTGAGTTGTGTTTCATCAAAACCGCTTAATGTGATTTAATTAGTTTATATGTTTCTTTCTAAGAGATGGGAAATACTAGACTTTTTTGTGTTACGCGGTTTTATGGTGCTGCCATCTATGCGTGAATGAGATTATCGTATTCTAATAGTCAAAGGCCAAAAATTAGAAAATGCAGGACACTGGAAACTATTCAAGAGTGAAAAGAAATGGGGGATATTGTCGTGTCAACGATGGGACAAGCCCCCGTAACGGCCGTGAGATTAGCCTTCTCGGCTATAAAAGGAACTAAGTGGCTTCATTAAGAGGGATCTGATAAAATTGCGGTTGTTCAATTATATCAGGTGAAAGCAGTTTAAAAATGGTTTTTCTCACAGTTAACTGTTTGAATACCATCTTATTTACGGTTATTTGACTGTTTTGTTTGAATAGGGTAAAATAACAATGAAATAACAATAACCGTTTTATCAGAGAACTTCCTAACAGTGAATTTTACAATGTTCATTTCTTAAATGTAGAAACATTTTAGGAAACAGGCGTGAAATGAAATAATTTTTAGAGTATAATGAAATATTTTATAATAAATCCATATTTACTAAAAAATATCATTAAAAAAGCTGCTCTGCAATTTTTAAAATGTATCCTTTCTACCTACATCTATTTTTTTAGGCGAAAAACATATTTCACTTTTTCTTTAGATGAGAAAAGAAATCACTCTATTTTGAAATTTTTTTATTCTATTTTTTTTTTTTTTTTTTTTTTTTTTTTTTTTTTTTTTTTTTTTTTTTTTTTTTTTNTGTTTGTTTTTTGTGAATTTTAATTTAATTGTTACATATGCTTCATAGCGTAATAACATTTGTGTAATAACAATTAATAGTGTAACAACAATTGTGATCTGTGGAGTGCCCAAAATATTGTGTCGCGTGTCATAAATGGCACGCGTGCCATTGGTTCGTCATCCCTGGCCTAGTTGATCTTATGAAATTGCGGTTGTTCAATCAGTTAGGTGAAAGCAGTTCATAAACGGTTTTTCTCACAGTTAACTATTTGAATACCACCTTATTAATGACTATTTGACTGTTTTGTTTGAATAGGGTACAATAGTAATTAAATAAATTGTTATTTAGCCGTTTTATCCGAGAAATTTCTAACAGTGAATATTACAGTGTTCATTTCTTAAATGTAGAAACATTTTAGGAAACAAGCTTGAAATGAAATAATTTTTAGAGCATAATGAAGTATTTATTATAAATCTATATTTTTTAAAAACATAATTAAAAAAGCTGCTCATAAATTGAAGGCAAGAAAAGTGGCGACTGGTAGACTGTTTTTTATCGCCATTTGTTATATTTAGTCGACCAATGGCTGGTGGTGACTGTTAATTTTGCTCTGTTCGACCTGTAACTTTTTTTTCAATTTGTCTACCCAACCGAAACTTTCATTCAGATTTAAAATTTTGAAAATGTATCCTTTCTACCTACATCTATTTTTTTAGGATAAAAATATATTTCACTTATTTTTAGATGAGGAAAAAAATCACTCTATTTTGAAATTTATTTAAAATTTCCATTCTATTGTTTTTTTATTACTCTTTTTGTCCTTTTTTCTCAAACTCCCATTATTAACCTTTGACCGAAATGGGACACCGGTGTATCTTACATATATTTTTTAATGACACTCTAGTTATAAGAAAAAACTTCTTTTGGTATTTTTTAATTATAAAAAATATGTTAGATTATCGGAATTATATTTGTACTAAAATGTAAAATCAAAAAAATAAAAAAATTTCTTGAAAAAAAAGAGTTTTTTTTTTTTTTTTGTTCATATTCAAAATTTTTTTGAATAATTAATTTTGTAAATTAAAGAAATTTCAAAGATGAATAGCTTTTTCTCTTTGATCTAAATAACTGCAAATTTGAAAAGTTATTGTTTGGAAGTGAACCGTGTTTGAAAGATTGCACTTTTAACGTAGAAAACGATATCAGTGTTTCATGCTGTATTTCATAACCATAAAATGCACAATATAATATTTTTTACTTATTTGAACCTAAATTAATACAAAACAGTGAAAAAAGTATGAAAAATATGTATAATAAAAATTTTGCATCAAAGGGTCAGCATTAAAATGGGTGTTATTTTTGTTTGCGATTTGTTTCTTTTGTTATTGCTGCCGTATGCAACTGGTCAATACTAACAAGTCAATTTTAAGGGAGAGAGATGCGCTTCCTCTTGTTTTCCAGTGGCGCCATCTATGGCCAAGAACAGATTTCTGCTACACACATACATCACTGCCCGTTTTACAGAGAGGACACATTCACACACCATCCACAGATCGTAATTTTGACCTGAACCGGAGCACGATCTATCTCCAATCCAGCACCCCCAGAGATATGATTTGTTATGGGAACATGGAAGACTTTGTCATCCTGACAGATTCAGCGTGCACCAGTCACCATTTTGTACACGGGGTGTCTTTGGTCAGAGAGGATCGAACTCGCGACCTCTCAGACATAGGCCTAACGCCCTACCAACCAAGTTATCTCGACCCGTTTCGTTAGTTAAATAACGGTTAAATAAATATGCAGCAAAACTAAAGATAAATATTTATCAGCCTACCGCAATTCATAGAACTTTAGTTTCCGACCTAAGTTCGGATTATGGTGTTGCCTGGTTACTCGGTAAGACACTGTTGGTATTTTGCACAGAAAGTGATTGGCATACGGATTAGTGTGTAGACCAGTTAAAAAAACTCAGTGAGGGCTTCTATTTTTTCAAAAAACTTTTTCTACCGTCTGTTTATTTGCTAAATATAGACTTTTCGAATAATCAGTAATATTTATATAAATATATAATCATCCAATTTTTGGATATAATCGTGTGAGCTGGCATCGAGATGATATCTTTTCGTTAATTTGTTTATTGTTATTTGTTAATTTGCCTTACAAAAAAAATTTTTTTTTTTAATTTTTAAAAAAAAAAAAATATTATTTCTTAATTTTTTAAAAAAAATATTTTTTCATTTTACCATTTACTCATTCTTTGGTTTTGTTTTGGATTTTTATTTTATTATATGGGTTCTATATACCAGCAAATAATGGGCAATTCAAAATTATTTTATTTAATTCTTTCTGGTACCTAGCTATATTTCCCATAATGAAGGAGGAAAATCAAAATGTTCTCTCCTATTGTATATGTTTATACATTTTAAAAATGTATGTATTCTTTTGATTTTCAGACTGATTCGCATCCGGAACAGCCTGTTTTTGGAATGGAAACGGAATCGAAACCGGAATTCGCATCTGAATTGAGAGTTCCTGATGTAGATTTGGAATCTTCGGATAATTCTTCGATTGTGAGTGCTTCAAGGATTGAAGAACCATCCAGTCCTGAGAAGAGAAAAGCATCGTCTCTCGGAGATCTCACTAAATTAGATCACGAAGCCAACAAGAAAACATCCATATCGTCGGCCATTTTAGAAAGAGCTGTATCCCTTGACTTACAGGTATATTTCATTTGATTGAAGCACTACATTTATACAATGCAATACTGTAATACCAGTGTGATTATTAACAATATAGTACTCCATCAATCGAGGATTTGCAAAACGTATTTAGTTTGTTGTTTTTATCGTCGACCATTAAGGCAGAGGAGGTGCGATTGTTCATGTTTTCAAGTGGCGCCATCTATGGGGATCTTCTGCCACATCCGTTTTATAAGGCGGACCCATTCACTCACCCACAGATCGTAATTTTGACCTGTACCAGAGAACGATCAATCTCCAATTCAATACACTCAGCGGTATAATTTGTGATGGGAACATGAAAGACTTTGTGACTCGACAAGTTTAGCGTGCATCAGTCATCATTTACTACACGGGGAGCCATTGACCAGCAGGATTCGAACTCCTATTCTCACGAAAGTGAGTCCAACCAGGCTATCCCTATCCACGAATTTAGTTTATTTTAAAACCATCGTTGAACAGTCGACTAAATTTTGGGTTTACGACTACTAATGTTCAACTCCGTAGCCTTGTAATTTTGAACCAATCCAGAAGACAAGGAAATTCCTGGATCAGGTACCCCCAGAAGTACGATTTGTTAGGTGAGCATGGAAGAATTTGTGACTTTAGCGTGCATCAGTTTCCATTTACTACACGGGGAGTCTTCTGCCGGCGGGGATTGAACCCACGACCCCTTGGACATGAGCCCCCTGCCCTACCAACCGGGGTATCCCGGCCTTGCCCACGCATTGAGTTTAAATTTGCATTTCCAAAATTATTGATTTAATCTACAATATTTTAGATTTAAAAACTCATGGGTTAATTAAGAGGAAATAGTGCCAAATGCTATTCGAAGCAGTTAGAGGATTTAACAAATTAAACATTATATGGAGGGCTGACCAAATGTAAGCAATAAAAAGCATCCTAATACCGGAAGAAATTTATAAAAATTCAGGTTTATCCTTTTGCTTATGATACGTTTGCGAGGCGATGTGTGAACAGACTTAATGTTCTAGGATGTTTTATTACTGTAATTTTTTTTAAAAATTTACCCTTAATTTTACCGTTCATAAGAGTTTTCTGTAATTTTTAAATTCTCACAGATTGTGAGCCTAAAAAAAATTTCAGAAAATGAATATCACAACATAAATAAAGCTTGCCATGTTTTGAGTGTTATCCCTTATTGGCTACATTGGTTTAAAATACTTTTTTTGTATAGCATCATAGCATGCTGGTGGAGTCTTCCGAACTCATTTGTTTCAGTGAAATTTGAATTGAAATAACGCGTTATATCGTAATAACTACAGCTATAACAATATTGGATGTCATGTCTTTTCCAACTTAGGCGTAAAAATCAATCGAAAGTGGTAACCCGGAAATCTTACGACGAATTTTAACCCCTAGCGCCATCTCTGCTTCGCTTTGCACGATCAACCATCCATATAGAGCCGTGATGGCTCAGGAGATAGAGCGTTCGCCTTCCAATGAGGCGAACCGGGTTCGAATCCCAGTCGATACGAATTCCGCATCCGGCTTCCATCTACCACAGTTCTGACGTGAAATATTCTCAATGGTTGACGGATCATGGGTTAGAGTCCCCTTGCCGTCAGGCTAACCGTGGGAGTTTCTCGTGGTCTTCCTCTCCATGCAAAGCAAATGTGGGTTAGTTCCATCAAAAAGTCCTCCACGAAGGCAAATTTCTCCCAATACTTGATCCAGGAGTTCCCTTGTCTTCTGGATTGGGTTCAAAATTACAAGGCTACCGAGTTGAACATTAGTAGTCGTAAACCCAAAAATTGGGTCGGCTGTTGAACAATGGTTATAAAATAATAACTAATACTATACCTGAACCATGTATTGGAAGAACGGCTTTAAGTTTGAATTATCGAATAATGGAATTTTTATTAGCATTATTAATTAAACACTGAATCCTGCAGATTACAATGATTCCTGCAAGTAATGTCATGCCTGAACCATGAATTAGAAGACCATCCTTAAGTTTGAACTATCTAATAACGCGATTTTTATAAGTACTATTATTAATTAAACTAAAAAAGTGTGGGATCAAAAATCCAATTACTTCGATTTTTTTGCATTTACTATTTTAAAATTAGCATTTATATTCGTAAAAAATGATATGATCAGACGACATAAAAAAATAAGAACTACAAACCGAGTCACGATAGCTCAGTGGTTAAGGCACTCATCTATAAAGAACTGGGGATCGATCCCCAGTGGCTGCTTGAAGCCCACCCAGCTATAGATCGATGAGTACCAGCTTGTCTGGGAAGTAAAGGTGGTCTGTGCGCAGTTATTACCACAACCATGCCGTTGGTCATCAAATCGGGGAGCCTTAACCTCCATGATCCTCCTTTTGACTGCGAACGATATAATAAATTTTAGTATGAATTTGAAATTAAATAATTTAAACGAAAGTACGATTTTAAACTAAATTTAGAATATATACTTGTTAGAGTATCAAACTAAAAGGAATTTTCGGCAGTCATTTTGGTTTACATTTATTTTTATTTCAAAACAGAGTAAATAAAAGGAATATATTGACCGTTTATTTGTAAACTCATTGGTTACAAGAATCAGCTATTGCATCTAATTTCCAATTGTATTTACAGCAAAGTCTACCTGGTGAAAATCTTGGAAAGCAAAAGAAAGTGTTAAAAGCGCCAACATTCGAAGATTTTGGCGAAGACCGTGAGAGTGACTCGAATGATACAGCAGAAATAGTCGGTCTCAAAAGATGGGATGTAAGTAAAAAATCTTTATCTCAATTCTAGAGTGGTTCGTAATGACCACTCTTAATAAATATTTTTATATCCTTTTAAACAATATAAAGAAAAATATATACATTATGTAAGAAAAAACGCTGTCAAAATGTGGTGAATTATTATCGAGGGAAGAGTTAGTAAAAACCATGAAAATTAATGATTTTTGAATGAAACTGAAAGGGAGCGAAAGACGAATTGATAGAAAAGCCTTATAGTTTCTTCTGAGAATGAAACTTGTTTTGATGTTTTGAATACTGCCATCCTGAATATTGGTTCGTAGGATTTATAGACGTTTTTTAATTCCTTAAATATCAGTCACAAGAGTGGGGAAAGAACAAAAGAGCTCAAAATAAATAAATAAATATGCGAAGCTCTTTATCACAATAAGAAAACATTTAAATTATTGAATACTTTTTAAATGTTTTTTTTTTCGATGTGTACATGGACAGTCTAAAAAAAGGTCTACATAAAAATCATGATTAAAAGGGTTAAATAATAATAGTAAGACAATAAAATGATGTAGAAGTTTAAAAAAAATACATGATTAACATCACATTTTTTTTTTATTATTACTCTCTAGAGAGTTTGTAAGAATATCTTACCTGAAATATTAGCTTTAACCTCCTAATGTGCAATTGTTCAGTTAATATCTGAGAAGCTCATTTCTGTACAAAATACAATCACTACAATTTTTTCGAAAGAGTCACTGTGGCTCAGGGGCTAGAGAGTTCGCTTCCCAGTGAGGTCAGCCAGGTTCGAGTCCCAGCCCTGTATGGTAGATACGAATTTTGACACCGTCTCGTATCAACCACAGTGCTAACGTAAAATATCCATAGTGGTAGACGAATTATGGGTCAGAATCCTTTTGTCGTTAGGCTTACCATGGAGGTTTTCGTGGTTTTCCACCCCATGTAACACAAATGCGGCTTAATTCCATCAAAATGTCCTTCTCTAAGGCTAGTTGGTCTCAATGCTTGGTCCAGGAGTTCCCTAATCTTCTGAGTTGTGTTAATTACAAGGCTGCGGAGTTGAACATTGATAGTTGTAAACTATGAATCGGTTCGGCTGTTCAACGTCGGTAATTTAAAAAAAAATCGAAAAAAAAAATCACGATTTTTTCCAAATTTGGTTTAAAACATTTCATTTCATGCTTGTGTTTCTAAAATGAAATAATGAGCTACTGTTAACTTTTTTATTATACAAACAAGCTTTTGAAAGAGCAAAAATTGTTGAGATAAAAAGAATATGTAAAAGAATCTTACTTGCTATTTTAATATGTATGTATAATTTGAAAAAAAAAACGTTTTTAATTATACTGCAACTATTTTAAGCTAAAGAGAAATAATAAAAATAGCATTATGACTGATACACTACTGCATATATTTTTTTAAAATTTTATCCAGCGTAATTTCTAATGTTGTTGTTGTTGTAGTTCATTTACGTCGCACTAGAGCTGCACAATAGGCTATTGGCGACGGTCTGGGAAACATCCCTGAGGAGGATCCNGATTCGTTTTTTTTTTTGCGGACTGTACATAGGCAGTTCAAAAAAAGTTCTACATATAAATCATGATTAAAAAGGTTAAATAATAATAGTAAGACAATAAAATGATGTAGAAGTTTAAAAAAAAATACATGATTAACATCACATTTTCTTTTATTATTACTCTCTAGAGAGTTTGGAAGAATATCTTACCTGAAATATTAGTTTTAACCTCCTAATGTGCAATTTTTTAGTTAATATCTGAGAAGCTCATTTTTGTACAAAATACAATCACTACAATTTTTTCGAAAGAGTCACGGTGGCTCAGGGGCTAGAGAGTTCGTTTCCCAGTGAAGTCAGCCAGGTTCGGGTCCCAGCCGTGTATAGTAGATACGAATTTTGACACCGTCTCGCATCAACCACAGTGCTAACGTAAAATATCCATAGTGGTAGACGAATTATGGATCAGAATCCTTTTGCCGTTAGGCTTACCATGGAGGTTTTCTTGGTTCCCCCCCCCATGTAACACAAATGCGGCTTAATTCCATCAAAATGTCCTTCTCTAAGGCTAGTTTGTCTCACTGGTAGGTCCAGGAGTTCCCTAGTCTTCTGAGTTGGGTTAATTACAAGGCTGCGGAGTTGAACATTTATAGTTGTAAACTATGAATCGGATGGACTGTTCAACGTCGGTAATTTAAAAAAAAAGAATCGAAAATAAATCACGGTTTTTTTCTAAATTTGGTTTAAAACATTTCATTTCAAGTTTGTGTTTCTAAAATGGAATAATGAGCTACTGTTAACCTTTTTGTTATACAAACAAGCGTTTGAAGGAGCGAAAATTGTTAATATAAAAAGAATATGTAAAAGAACCTTACTTGCTATTTTAATATATATGTATATTTTTTCTGAAAAAAAAACCGTTTTTAATTTTACTGTAACTATTTTAAGCTAAAGAGAAATAATAAAAATAGCATTATGGCTGATACACTACTGTATATAGATATTTGTAAAATTTTATTCAGCGTAATTTCTAACGAATGTCTTCATTTCACTAATTTTCGTTCAATTTTAATTACTTGACTCTGACTTTATATTATTATATTTTTACTTAAGGAAGATTTTTCCTTATGATACCAAAATAAAATTAAAGAAATTTAGTTATCGAGTTACTATTATTTGGTTTAGACTCGAGCTCTAGATTAAAGCAAATTTTCAGTCGCAATAAAAAAATCCGAAAAAATCTTACCAATTAGCAGCTATAATGAGTCATGCGTTTTATTTTATTTTCAAAAATATTTTAAGAGACGTACTAATACTCTTGTTAGTTTCATTATTCGTTTCACTTCATTTTCTATTTAACATGTTTCCTTCTACTTTTAATACACAAATCATTGTGTTTTCTGGAAAGTTCAAGTTTATTTTTGGTAGTTGGCATATGGACAGGTTTGGGGCTTGAATATATCAGAGTGACTGAAAAAAAAATTATATGTGTGTAAATAGAAGTAAAAAAGTATTGCTCTCAAATCGACAAATTACAAACAGTAAGTGAATTAAAATTGGATAGGGTCATATTTCACACGTGACCTCATGTCTTTGGCAATTCACAAAGGTTGTTCAGGGCTCATTTAGAATATTCCATCCTACTCACTCTATTCACCAGACCCTCAGATCTATAGCTACTTTGATCATTACGTTGCAAAATTTCCTAAATAATTTATAGGGATAAAAACTCGAGTAATAAAGGATTTCACCACAGAACCTGAGAGGTTCTTTAACAACGGAATCTTCAAGTTTCCTGAAAAATAAACCGAGGTTGTGGAACATCCAATACCAATTTTTTTTAAATTTCCTTTTTAAAACTCTAACTTATCCGTAATTCGTTCTAATTCATTTTCTAGAATGGCTTAGATGAAGTACTGGGGCTGACGAATGGCCGACTGCACGACGACGAACTCAAAACGTCCTCCGTTGATGATGATTCGGTCCCTCTTGCAATCGTCGCTGAAAGCGATGGAACAACGAAGAAAAGCACCACCGTAGCAGACATAGACGCTTCAGCTATCGAAGAAACTGTTGAATTTGAGACTTCTACACCCATACGAAAGGTCATCGAGGTCAAAGGTTTCTTGAAAGATGACGATTCATTGGATGATGTGCCCTACTTAGCATCTGCCAAACAGACGGATGAAGAATCATCCAATAAGCACACCACCAAGATCACCACGAATTCAGTGTTCTCCCCCGTCACCATAAGCATTCCAGTCATCAAACCAGATCTGACTAATTTCGAAAAACTACCCAGTCCTCCTCCAGCCAGTACCCATCCAGCCCTCGATCCAAGTTGGAGGATGTCCAAGACCGTCACTACAGATGACAGCAATAGGTTTGGTTTGGATAAAATATCAGTCCAGGCTTTGTACAAACCTATTTTCACCAGTAAAGAAGTACCACAAGCAGAGGAAGGGGTCACAGAGAAGTTGGTAAATGGGAACGATTCCGATTCATCGGAACATTACAGTACTGCTCAAGAAACATCAGTCGACAGTAATTCCGTGTCCACGCTGTCAATGACTGTTTCTCCAGTATCAACTGGCAATAGTACCAATGTCACAATCAAAACCCCCAATAGTGTGGCGGGTTTTGCCAAGACCCTAATCATTCCAGGACCCAACGACGTTGAAAATTTGCTCAGCTTGGCGACCGAATCTAATACTCCACCGCCACAGCTGGAGCCACCACCGAAACCAGTCGAGACCGAATGAAACAAACATCGAGTGGGCTGTTTTTACAGTCAAAAACTGTATTTTTCAGGGGATAAGCTATAAATTAGTAGCTACTACTTATGAATCGAAATTAATGCCAATAACTAGTCCAATACAATTGATTAGTAAGCCAATATTTATCCATCAGTGCGGTTGAACATAATTGAAAGCACGACAGACTCTCAACAAATTAAGATCTTGCTTTAAATCAATACGTTCTTTTGTTAGAAGAATTTCGATGGGATGAACTTTTATTCTTAAAAGTCTTCATTTTAAAAAGACTAATACCTCATATTTTAGACAAAAATTTACACGTGTGTTTGCTACATTTTGCATAACTACTGTTTAATTGCTCTTAGTGTAAAAAAAACAAAAATTACACAATCGAATATCTATTTTTCGTTAAGATAGTTTTCTTAGTTTATATGTTACTAGAGTTGATAATACATAATTTAACACTGAAATGTTTAGGGGAAATTTTGTTGTATAAATGGGCTGTTTAGGGGAAATTTTGTAATATAAATGGGATGTTTAAGGGAAATTTTATCAAATTCATTTTTTTTCTCGCTACGACACTGTAAAAAGTTAGATAAAATTCTTAACTTTTCCCGTCAAAATAGATTTTACTTGATGGTTGCTTTGCAACCCAGAATATTCAAAGAAGTAATTTCCCCTAAACATCGCAGAGTTATCCCTTGTAAATCCTTATACTTGTAAAAACAATAGAAATTCCAAGAATTTTTGTAAATATTATTTGAAGTTTGGTGTGATTTGTATACTAACACTTTTCTATACGAGGTTTTCTTTTGAAAGGAATTGAATATGAAAACAGAGTGATTGCATACCAGGTAAAATATTTTATAAAAATTGAAAGCAAGGAACTCTTTTCAAAGTAGCTTCACTTAAAACCATTGTTCTTGTTTGCAAAACAAATTTACCATTGCGTTGCACGTCAAATATAATGTGTACTTTATTTCCCGTGTTTTACGCAGTATAGCCGATTCCGGCTCCTCAATGTGATAAAGTGTAGCAGCTTAACCCACTAAGGGTTTAGAAAATGTGCGAATGTTTCACCACAATACACTATTTCCCTATCTAATAGAATGGAAAAACCGGGTTTGCTATGCAGAGAAGACTGGCGTTAAAATACGACTTTTTAAGTGCAGAACCAGCAGTGGGTTAACGTTGAACATTATATAGTTAGTAAATAGAATAAGCTAAAAATTACAAAACTTCCCCACTTTCCGTTACCATGGTATCCGCAAATTTTGTTTCTTCCCCACGTCAGTATGTTCCTGCTTCTTAGTAAAACGTACAGTCGCCACGGGGAAAAATGCAATATATTTCGTAACCATGGTGACGAAGTGAGGATAAATGTGGAGAGGGGAAAAATCGCGCAACCTTTAGTCGCCTGTTAGTGAGCCTAAAGAGACTCTTTCTTTCAACGTAATTACCTAGGGCCTTAATTTTTTTAAAAAATAAATTGACAAGTAATAGATCTTTGCTTTCTCTGAAAAGTTTATGACCCACGACTTAATCTGAAGTGTTAACTTAATTCTCTTGAAACCTGGTCAGGAGTTTGGGCACCATTTGATACATATATTTCTGTGATAGATGCGTAAGGTTCTGAGCCATTTTAGTGATTTTATTATAATGCTAACTTCTAATTGAATATTAAAATATCATTGATGTTTAATTGTTGATTAAATTACTTAACTAGTCCAAGTGTCATTATCATTCTAAATTTATAATTCGAAACGGTATCGCACTAATTTTAAAAGTATTTGCTTCAAGACTGTGCACAGCTGCCAGCATGGATAGGATAAAATCCAGTTGATAAAACAAAATATAAATTTCATGATAACTATTGCATATTAGGCTAAATATTTTACAAATAGGGTATTTTAAGGATTTTTACAATAATCAAAATACAAAAACTTTATAACAGTAATAACTGTAAATGGTCTGCAATATTTTCCAATTATGATTGACATTAAATGAACTTGAAATATTTTTTTTTATTATATAAACTTATAATTTTGAATAGTAATAGACAAGTAATTAATTATTGATAGTTAAAATATTTTTTTTAATTAATTAAAAAATTAATTTCTGGATAAAAATAGAATGAACATTTTGGAACAAAAAAACTTTAAAAACTGATTGCTATTAATGAGGACTGATTACATCATTATGTATTAGTCATACTTATTTAAATATACGAGCAAGTAATGAATTGTGTAAAAATATAATTTTCAAAAATGTAATAAACTGTATAAAAATTCTATTTCAATGGGGATTTTTTTACAAACTTATTCAGTTTAAGGGAATTTTCTTAAGTGTCCAAAACCCAGGAGAATTTTTATTGAACCAGTATCTTAATTGAACAACTTATAAATCCAGTAGAGTTGTCTTCTATGAGTGTGCAATTTGCAGGGATAATTTTTATAGATAATGGAGAGAAAAAAAATAATGCGTTAGATACATACGTTTATAGTGTTTCTTATAATGTGATTTTCAGCACACTGCTGTTAAGATCTCAAATTGTGGTTGGGTGGAGACTTTATATTTTACGAGTATCCAAAGACTGCCAAATAGAATAAATATCTATCATCAATTTGTTTAACAATATAAAACAAAGAGAATTAAAAGCATCTTTAGAATTTTTTCTCCCTGTATCCACCTCCTTTGACGGTTGAGTTCGATTGGGAGATTATTCTCTAATCTCTTTCATCGCGGACGATATAACTCGTCTTCCAGGAATATTCTCTGCGCTCTATTGTTGTATTAATGAATATGGTTATTGATTGCAAGTGATTATTATTTTTTAAAGCAAAATAAACAAGTTTTACAGGAATTTCAATTTTAGTGCTGCGTGGGAACTCTAAACGCCAAGGGTGGACAAAGACACGTCATTATCGCGATGAAGGTTGGTAGGTAGGCTTTATTCAAGTCGCACTAGAGCTGCACAATGGGCTATTGGCGACGGTCTGGGAAACATCCATGAGGATGATCCGAAGGCATGTCATTGCAATTTTGATCCTCTGCAGAGGGGGTGGCTCTTCTGCTTTGTTAGCCCGACGACCAGCGCGCGAAGTCGAGCACTTTACGATAGAGGAGTTTAATAAGGAACGATACCGCGAACCCTCGGTCCCTATGCAGACTGATCAAACCCACCCGCTTACTCACCGCAGCCAGTGATAATTGACTTTGGTGTTCTACTGGGAACCGTATCTTTGCGATCGGTACACTGCGGGGTTTGCCGCGATGAAATATTAAGTATAGGATGTGTGGATTTTTTTCACGTAGTATTTCTTGCTAAGAAAGAGATATCTTTATTCTATTTATTTTTTTTAAAAAAATTCCTGAATCTATGGATACAGAATTCATTTATTTTTCATATTAAATTAGCCAATAATTAGATAAACATAAAACAAATAATATTTTAGCTATTTTTCGGCAAAAATAAGAGAGCTTTTATAATTAATCTCAGCCTGTAACTCTTGAGTAGGTATATAGATATTGTAACAAAATATTAAACAGTTTCGATACTGAAACTTTGGTATGCAACTTTAAGGTGACATCCACGTCCACAAAACAAATGTCACAAACTGTTTTAATTTTTTTTAGACGAACTTTTCTCGAGTTAGTTTAAAACTGTACATAGTTTATGAATATTTCTTCTTCTGTTATCTAGACGCGTTTTGGAATGATTGTTTATAAAATGATGCTTAATACTTAAAAGAGCATTAGAGATATAAAGGTGATATGTTATCTGTTGAAATGTTATATTATTGTTTTTAACATGTGTAATGAATATAGCCATCTTTATGTATAAGTGATAAAAGCATGTATAAATAAATACTCGTATTTTTCGATCATTTGTGCTTACTTGATTTGTAGTTTATTAACAGCCAATTTTATAAATGGGAAAAGGTGAGTTAGTAGCCTTATTAAATATGAAATTATTTCAAGAACTGTTTTAACAGCGTTATTTAAAATGAATTATACGAGAAGGCGGAAGTGTATGAACACAGTGTTATTTCAGATTAATTTATTAGGGGTAAGTGTATTAACAGTGTTCCTAATATGAATTCTATAAGTAGGCGAAAGTGTATCAACAGTGTTATTTCAGATGAATTCTATGAGTAGACGAAAGTGAATTGACAGCATTATTTTAAATGAATTCTATGACTAGGCAAAAGTGTATCTAAAGCGTTACTTAAAATGAATTCGGTAATTAGGAAAAAATGAATCAACAGCATTATTAAATATCAATTTAGTTGGAGTAATTGGATTAATAGCTTATTTAAAATTAAATTTCGCACGTCAACAAAATTGCATCAACAATGTTATTTCATATGAATTTATTTATTGTAGGTATATTAACAGTCTATATTAAATGAATTCTGTGAATGAGCAATAGTGTATTAACAGCATTATTTAATAAAAACTATGTTAGAATAAATGGATAAACAGCTTAGTTCATAAGGTGAAGTGAGTCAATTTATAAATCGAATATTAAAAACAAAATCAGAGGTGTAACAACGTATTTTTTACTTTTTTTCTTTCAAGAATTGTTTTAATTGTGCTGATGGTGTTGTAGTTGACAGCATTTGAGGGTGAACTAAACCTTAAAATTTTTGCAGAAACACGATGAAATTGTGACAGGGTGTGTCAATTGTTTAGCTTTCCTGTTTTACAGAGGGCATGGCATAAAACAATGAGGGAGAGACTAAGCTATGAAAATTGTGTGACCTGTGCCTTTTTATGTGTACTAGGGCAACAGCATACTAAGGTTTTACCAATGTATTTCAATGAGCCAATTTAAATTGTACCTATTATGTCGCAGTGTACTATATTTGTTCATTATGTTATGTCTATGCGCAGATGAAGTATTCTGGGGAACAAGTAGGACTTGGAGTCCTCTGCTTTCTCGTGAATTAGCCACCTAGAAGCCCAGGCTTAAACTCTATTAAGATCTTTCTGGATTTAGAGAGAGGCGTGAAAGAATATTGCACAAAACCAGCCATAGCTGATGTTCTGGAAATCTTTTTTATTAAATGCTTCTGTGAACTTGATGTCATGTGGCTGCTGTTATTGAGGCAAAAGGAGTCCTAACTTGTAATTAACTTGCTATCTTTTTATACAATTTGACAATTTTAGGAAGCTGCCAATGCAGAGCCTGCCCTCGCAGCCGTGAAGCTTTCAAGGTTCGCTAACTAATGGATTGAAGGAGCTAGTCTAAATCTGTGGCTTTTTCGTCTTTCAAAAGCCCTTAAATGGGCTTTTTTTATTGGGTGTTTTTAAAAGGTGCTTAAGTTTCCCTTTTTGAAAATGAGAAATTTTTTTCTTTATCATGCTGATTTTCGCCACGTATTATGAAAAGCGTGGCTATCACATTGTTCTATTCAACGTTTTCCCAAATCATTCAAACACAAATCATTTCGACGTACTGTCGTTCCGTTGTGTATAAAAGCACCAATCATTTTACATGCTTGCAGGTTCGCATGTGCATATACTGAGCTGGATTCAGGGGGAATTATTCTTGCACTATCAAGTGCAACTTGGCAGCATTTTTTAAGATTCTCTATTTCCGGCTTCATTTTCCTCCTTCAGAAATCGAACCAAAAAATCTATCTTTTTTTGGTGCTTAATGTGATCAGGAAAAAGAGTTCTTTGTCAGAAACTAGTTATTTTATCATGATCATGCAGTCTTTGAAAATTATTTTGCATTTTGTTAATGCATATAGAGCTTAAAAAGTACATATAAGGTGCTTATTTTTTGTTGAAAGATTTAGCTAGCTATGCACCCTGTAATTATCGGGATTTCTTTTTGGGGGGGGGGGATGCATTAAGAACATTATGTATAGGCAGTGGTCTGAAAAATTTCACTATTTTTGTACTTAACTACAACTATTTCTTTAGAAATGTAGAGACTACGAACTACCTGAATGAAATATCCTGAGGGGTAGACAGATCACGAGTTAGCTCTCTTGCGGATTAGTTCCATCAAAAAGCTTTCCATGAAGGGAAATTTTTCCTAATACTTGATCCAGGAATTCCGTTGTCTTCTCAATTGGGTTCAAAATTACAAGACTACAGAGTTGAACATTAGAGGTCGTAAACTCATAATTGGGTCGGCTGTTCAACCACATTGTAAAATAAAATAAGATTCCAGTGCCCTAACCACTGAGCTACCACAGCTCATAACACGAAGCATTTTTCTTAATATTTTGGTATAAAAAAATATTAAGAAAAGTGATTTGTTTTGTGAGCTGTGATGGCTCAGTTGTTAAGGCTTTGGAATCTTATTTTATGTTTCTTAATATTTTAGTATAGTGCCGTGATGGCTCAGGAGATAGAGCGTTTGCCTTCCAATGAGGTGAACCAGGTTCAAATCCCAGGGATGGCTGGCGAATATGAATTCCGCACCTGACCTGCAGTGATCACAGTGCTGATGTGAAATATTCTCAAATGGTAGACGGATCATGGGTTAGAGTCCCCTTGCCATCAAGCTAACTGTGGGAGGTTCTTGTGGCCTTCCTCTCCATGTAACGCAAATGCGGGCTAGTTCCATCAAAAAGTCCTCCACGATGGGAAACTTCACACAACACTTTATTCAGAAGTTCCCTTGTCTTCTGGATTGGGTTTAAAATTACAAGGCTACATAATTGAACATTAGTAGTTATAAACCCAAAAATTGGGTCGGCGGTTCAGCGACGGTTATAAAATATAATATTATAGTATAAAATTTAAATGCATACATGTTTATTAATTTACAAAATAAGATTTTTTAATTTCAGGATTCTTTTTCAATAATCCGATATTTCTACTTTAAGTCTAGCCTTTCGAATTTTCCCTCATATTTCTTTTTAAAAAAAGTTTGGTCACAATTGTAATAGAAGTTTTTTTTTGTATGATTAAATTGAAATAACCTTTCACATCAATGAAAAAATTTGAAATTTCTTTTTTTTTATTTACATGGTGAATTGCACGCATATGATTAATATATCACAAATTAAAACTACTATAAAATAGTACAACAATGAAAATGCTAATTTCAACAGTAAAATAAAGTGATGACTTTAAAATGATAAAGCTAAATAAACAAATTCAATAAAAAAATGTTGAATAATAATTTGAGAAAAAATACACATTAACATTGAATTACTTGTATAAAATGTAACGAGATTCTAAGATAGCATTTACAGAGTTTATTTACAATATGTCATGTAAATTTTCCCTTAATTTTTTCTTTATTTTATAAGCATCTCCATCATAAAATAGAATTGCTCCTCTTACATTCAATCATTCCCATTAACTGAAATTCAATATAATAAAAATTAGTGAATGTTTATAAAAATATTACAGAAAAAATTTAGTTTCAAAATCTCACTAAGCAATAAGTAAATTATTAAAATGTTATAGCAAATAGCTCAAATAAGTTTAACAGAAATCTTAAGAAAATTACCTTAAAGAAATAAATCACCACCGAAACCTATTGAAATCGGCCATTGGTCAAATCATCTGACATTTTGATGTGCTGTAGTAAATTTAATGATTTTTCAAAACTCTTTCTTTAAGCTTTTTTAAGTAAAGCAATAATTTTAAACCAAACCATTGTGTGGCAACAAATTAACTGATCTTTTTAACAGACATATATTAAATACTACAGAAGTAATCAAATTTTTTTAAAAACAAAATCATCAATTCGACATAATTTTTACATTCAAATGAAAATAATTGGAATCCACATATAATTATCAATTTTTACAAATTTTTATGAGCCCAGATAACTTATAAGCACAAGAGTATTTTTTTAAATATTAAAAAGAAAAATTAAATCACAAATGATTTTAATTTTCATTGAAATCGCGTTGTATTTAGTTGTTACACAATATGATTATTTCAAAACCTTCATTTGTATTCATAGAAAATGGGATGTTCTAAACTCATAAAAAAAATTAGGAATAACAGGCTAAAAAACTAAAATTTAAAACAAGGTATTTATTATTAGGAACATATTCGATGACCCCTGACAATGGATCTCATTTTCAAGAGATTTTTTAAACTTAGATAAAAGCTGATAATACTTTTAAAACTGATAATACTTCAGGGGCAATTGTGAGCTCAAGTCAAAATTCCGGAAAATTTCTTGAGTAAAAAAAAGAAGTTTAAATCGAAAAAAATTTAAACAAGTTTTTTTTCCTTTTCTCAATATTTCTTAGTTTACTTAAAATATATTTAAAATTTTAAACATACCTATACCATTTACAAATACCTATGTCGACCTGGAGAAGTAATTGAAATTTACATATGTCTTTTTTTCTTGAGTTTATGATTATAATAACTATTTACTGATGAATATTAATCTTAAATATAAGATTATAAAGTATCTGGCTCTCTCTTACAAATAAAATAAACTATGTTTTTAAGTTCCACCTTTGAAAATTTGATTTCCGCAAACTTTTGTGATCAATGTTTTTTTTAAACGTCTGAACCCTCGATCTCCGGAAACTTCCAGATCACAGTTAGCGAAAAATCCGGATTTTTTCCGGATCACAATGAGCCCTGCTACTTGGTCAACAGCTGATCGCATACCCTTTCAAAAAAGATTAACAATGGATCTAAGATTAACAAATTTTAAAATTCTTGCTTTTATCCGTAAATAATAACTTTAGAAAAATCACTCCATTTAAAATATTAATTGATTCCATATTATCAAGCTAGATAGTTATGGTGCAAATTCTGTACAATAATCAAACAAGATCATCCTTCTAATACAAAGCATTTTTAAAATTAACAAACACGGGCACATTTATAATTTCACAAAAAATTTTATGTTAACAAAATAAAATATGAAACCATTTATCGAGACAGTTTTTCTTTAAGCATCTATTTTTATAAAAATTTTGCAGGTTTCTGATATGCCTTTTCCAGGTATATCAGGAAAATTTCAGCGAAAATCAAGACCATATTTAAGCTATATCACAAAATTTTTCATCAGAAATGATTTTTTTTTTTATTTGTTGTGTCAAATATTAGATTTTGTGAGCAAAAAAAATATCATTGAATGAGGATGGAAACAAGCAAGCTTCACTATAATGTGATATTTTTACAGCAAATAATTGTAACAGATGTCAGAATTGTTTAACTCTATCTCAATAATTGACAATTTTAAGACTGTTCATTTTCCAGCTATAATGAGAGAATTTCCCAGGTTTTTGTAAAAAATTCTAGCTATACTTAACTATTCCCTGCTTTTTAGATTATAAATAAAATTCCATGGCAAATCCAGGTTTTCTCTTACCTCCCTGACCCGTGTGAGCCCTGTTTTGTAACACTTTTTTTTAACGGCCAGACTAAGGGGCCATGAGACTCCCAAAAATCCCTCCAGTCCTAACGACAAGAAATTCTAATTACCAAAGATGCATGGGAAAAAATTAAAAATTTGTGAGCTATCGGTAGATAATATCGTAAAAATTGAAGGTAACCTCACGTTATTAATAGTCATAAGATTGATTGTTTAAAAAAAAGAAAAAGTTTTTATATTTGCTATTTATAAAATGTGATAAATATTAAATAATTGATTTAATTAAATTTTAATAGGATTAAAAAAATAAATTTACGAAAGAATTAAATTTTAAAAGTTAGGAAATAAATAACGCCTATAATGGAATCATATATATTTGTGGTGTAACTACCACTATGTTTATTAAACACCAATTCACTAATATATAAGACATGCTAACTCTATTCAATCTTGGGTTACCCTTTGATATATGAAGGAAATCATCATTAACTACACATTAATAATTTAAAATAATATTTAACTACTTCAACTTTACTCACTTGAAACTTATGAATGATAGACGCGGAATATGGAGGAGATGTGTTTCCGACAAATAGGGCAAGCATCTTGGCGCTTCAGAAGCAGGCGACCACAGGTTGTGCACGTGCACATGTGGTGGCAAGGATGCAAAACACAGTTTCTCTCTTCATCCATGCAAACAACACAATCTTTTTCACGGCTTGAATACTCTTCTGGAAAAAGAAATTAGAGCAGATTAAAATTAAATCATGAAATAAAAAACACTAATCTAAATATTAAAAAAAAACTCTTATAATCGAATGGATGGGTACTAACTATGAAAGCTTTTTGACTTTTATCAAACTATATATACATATGAGAATGTCAACTTTTACCGGTGAACGTTAACAATCACAGTGGCTTTGGTGAATGTTCAAAATATTTGTTACATCCGATTTGATATTAATTTATTCATTAATATTATTATGTTTATTCGATATTTTAATGCCTGCTGAGAATAGATTATGAGAAACACCTGGTGTTCAGAGTACCAGTTAAATGCAAACTGAGCAGTGGCACTCAAACCCAAAGAAACAAGAAACATTCATGTAGGGCATAACGGACAATTGCACTGAACTTTAAAAAAACATTGATGTAAGGCAAACCAGGCAAATGTATACTGGGCAGTGGCACTGAACCTTAAAAAAAACATTGATCTAGGGCATAACTGGCAGTGGCACTTAGCTAGACCTAGTATATATTTCGGACCTAGTATATATTCCTGTGATTGTCAACATTCACCGGTGGAAATTTCTAAAAATAAAACTTCAAATCTAAGTAAAAATCAATTTCAAAACTAAATAACTGAAAAATATTTAAATAACTCATTGCTGTTAAAATGATAAAAATACAGAGACTCATGCCACGCTCCCAGAATGCTAAAACTTTTTTAGCTAAACACATGGGAAAAAGACCTAGAAAAACACCCCATCAAAGATGGATTGGAAAATATCTTAGCAGCAAAAAATTGGAAAGGAGTTGCCAAAAGTAGAAATATCTGTAGCTCTTTGTGCAATTCTAGTGTAACATAAATAAAGTACTTTTACTGTAAAAATTACAATGACATTATACTAAAACATAGCACATTGTATAATCTTCAAATCAGAGGAAACTAAACTTTTCTAATAGATTTCAACAATTCTTTATAACTAAAGTTTTAAATTTCATAGAAACTGTTATAACTTAAAATTACTCATAACCCTAGTATTTATAAATTGGTGACAAGGTTCACATTTCAACAAATAAAATGAAACAAAAAAATTCAACAAGTAACAAATTAAGAAATGGTGTTCGAAAATTTTTCCTACGTCAACAAGGGAAAATAGAATCCCTTTTCGATTTAAGTGAACACCCAAATGTATGAGGAAATTTTTGTTTCATTTCTTTTAAGTAAATTTTAGATCTCGGCCAATCTAGGATCGTTACAAGTATGTTGTAACTCTTTAACTATTAAGTAGTAATGAATGAAATGTGGGATTTTTTTATTGTAAATTTAAATAAGCATAACTTTTTTAAAAAAACTATTTTATTAATCTAATTGAAAACCATCATAATCAACATATTTTTGACAATGTAGTACTAGTTTTTGGACGCAATTTTCATAAAAATTTGACTCGATGGTGTCAATCCGAGATTAAAAGTTATTTTTGATCTGTTCCAGATTGGTAAACTTTTTATCACAGAGAAATTTGGCAAAATGTTTAAAAAAGTGATAATCAGCTGGAGATATGTCCGGTGAATGTGATGAACCACGTATTTGAATTGAGCCAATGTGTTTGCTGTGATCAATGAAACTTGTGGACATAATTTTTGATGCATGTTTTCAGTTTCTGCATGGTATTTCTCTGCTGTTATTCTTTTACCAACATTTATAAATTTATAATGATAACAATGAAAACATTTTATTAGTTTTTATGGTAATTGAAAATTAAACTGGGATTTAAACAACAAAGTGCAACTGATGAACAGGGTGTATAAAAATCATGATTTTTTTTTAAAAAATAAAAAAAAATCGGATTTTTTTGATTTTAATCGGATTTTTTTTATTTTAATCATGATTTTTTTATAATTNTTTCACTCTGCTGCACTTTGTTTTTTAAATCCCAGCTTAATTTTTGGTTACCATAAGAAACTAGTGAAACCTTTTTTTTTTAATCAAAGAAGTAGATAAAAAGTTAAATGATAATAATGTCCTATAATTATGTATTAATTTATTCACATATTTATACCACAAGATTATTTCATAACAAATAAATTCTGCTTTTGTTTTTAAGCCTAAAATTAAGAATAATAATCAAAATAATGATAAAAGCAGAGAATATAAGGAAAGGACGATAAACACCACAGGTAAATACCTTTAAATTAGGGATAAAAATATTTCACAGGCTAACGCCGTTATAATTTTTATAAATTTTCTGCTAATAACAACCAATGAAACGAGATCTCTATAGGAGAGAAACTGGATTGTATCATGCAATTTATTTTTCAGATATGAATACTCAAATCAGTTCAATATTTTCTCCTGATTTTAAACATATAGATACACTTATTAATATACTTATTCATATTCATTTTCAATAAACTAACATAGATAATATAACAAATATATAAACAAATATAAAGTAAAAATTTTCAATTATGACATATTGGATTTTATTATTAGGTATCCCACTTGCAACCCCTAGATACAGGCGAGATCATGAAGCATTTTTTTTAATTACAAAATTCTGTTGAACAAAAGTTGCAAAAATGTTCTATTACATCATAAACATATTGAATAAGTTAAATCCAAATAATTATTTACCTATGTCCACTTCCACAGCTTTATTAAGGATTGGTTTATCTGTGAGATTGGGAACTCTTCTACACAGTTTGGCCGGACAACCCTTATTTTCTTTAATAGTTCTCAGGAAATCTAACAGTAAAAACATATACAACAGTTTGAAAATATGTGTCATTTATACAGTATAAAGAGAGACTTGAATGCAACAGGTATATAAAGTAAATGTGAATTCACAACAATGGTGCTAAAGCAATTATATTTTTAATTCCAGAAATTATGGCTCCAGAAGTTATGGCTTAAAATAAATTTAAAAAAAAAAAACACTAAAACATTTTTTTTAACAGAGAAAAATAGGCCATCAAAACCAGAGAAAATAGGCCATTAAATATAATACAGGAGTTATAAAGTAACAATTTCAAATTTGTTTCAGTGTTATCTTTAAGTGTTTTTTGAATGGGGGCATGCCTGCTGGCCCTTTCATTGTGCTTATCCAATAAATGTGCCCTTTTTGCAAAAATAAGCCACAATTCCTTAAAAATACTGCCTTTTTTTATTAAATTTCCATTTTGAAAAAAATCAATTCACTATTTATATAATAATTAGACATTGGTAAAATTATTTGTGTTTATAGGTTTAATTCTGAATACTATTATAAATATTTACCTTAGGATAATTCTCAACTGGTTGAATTTTTATAAGTAACTCTTTTTTTAGGGGGGGGGGTATTAATGATTGCTTTTAAGTGATTTTAAATTTTATAACTGTTTTTTTAAATAAATACCTTTTTTAAAGAAAAAAAAACACCCTTAAATGTTCATTTTTTTATAATTTTCAGCTTAAATTACAAAAAAAAAAAGAAGCTAAAACTAACCTTAAAAATTGCCTTTTAGCATGCCTTTAATTATTTTGGTAAACTGCGAATTTTTCTCATATTTTGATAATAAGAGAGAATTACCTTTCGTAATATAATCATACAATAGTATGAGAGGGTAATTTAAAAATTGTCGCAGATACAATTCAGTTTGTTACATAATATTACACATTTTGATAAATATTTACGATATTAAGTGAATGCCACTTCAAAATTCAAAGTAGGCACTTTTCAGGGGGAAGGTGCCTTACTCTTTTTTATTTCTAGGGAGAACTCAGTTTTTAGTAAAAAAATAACTACTTAACAATTAATTTATAACAAAATAACAACAAAAGCCAATATGGTTAATAAAAATGAAAGAAAGAAGAAAAAATAGTATTTTAAGAGAGTATAAAATAAATGGTACCATTTTTCTTAGCTTCTCGTTGCTGAGGGCTGAGCACAAAAGGTTCAGGTCCACTTCTCAGGAAGGCAATTTTTCCCATTCGACTTAAGAAGCCCCTCACTAAAGAGCAAAGAATTTACTGCATTGTATTTTGATATTAAGCAATGGAATTAACATGGTTCGAAACTGAAATATTTAGTGTAGCCACAAAATACAGCTCATTTTATTAAAAACTTGGTAAAGTAAATTTAAGATAATAAAACACATTAAACATTATTTCAGTTGAATTTTTCATAACACTTTTTTCATGCATAAAACAATATAAAAGTAGTGAAAAGAAATTTCCTTATGTACTAAGAAATTAACTCACAAAATATTAACCTTTTGAGTTATTATCTTTTATCAGTGCAAGGAGACTACAAATTAAAAAAAAAAAATTTTCTAGTTCATTAGAAAATCAATCTAGTATGCATTTAATTAGTAATTATGTATGTACAGTTCGCAAAAAAAAAGATATCACCCTGAATAACTTTCGTTCTAATGATCGGATTTTCACGAACTAAGTGTCAATCTTAATGGTTCTTGGGGGTGACCTCAAATATGCTAATTAATTAGTGCTAACTATTAATTAAGTGACGAAATCAGACACAAAAACGCACTTTCTCTGAATAAACATATATTTTTTTTTACATATTTGGAATCTAGACACTTGAATTAGGGGGGGTAGACAAAATTTTTTAAAAAAATGGGGCGTAAATTGGGTTGCAATAAAGGTTTATATATTTGGCGGTAGTCCAGAAAACCGCCAAAAAAAGTCGCCTGAGCAAATGAATATTTTAAGATAACCCATTGACTAATTAAAAGAGTAATGCTTAATTTTACTAGGTTGCTAGGCAACCATGCTTTGACTGTAAAAAATTGACATAATGTTTTGTGATTGCTCAGAGAGGTTTAATTAATTGTTAATCGAAAATATCTTGAAGTGTTTTAGGCAATAGACAATTTTTAAGCTGATTTCTGTCCAAAAAGCAAAAATAAAATTATTTTAATCTCCTTTGAAAAGAAAATTTGAATCGATTTATAAATTATTTATGGCTTTCTAAGTTTTTAGAATTTAAATACATGAACTTTTTATCTGATATTATTTAGATTATGTTACTTTTGCTATGTTTATTCGAGGATTTCATACTAAAATCAAATTAACATAACTTATAATAGCTATATAAAATTTTTTAGGGATAATCATTTTTACAGCTTTAATCGAGTCTTCTAGGCATGAAAGTTTGAAGAAAAAAAAGTGCTTGAAAAATAAAATGTAGATTATAAAGTAATTCTAATGCACATTCACAAGGTTTTCTACAATTTACGATATTTCTTTTTTCGATAACTTAAGTAATTGCTGAATGTTTAGTGGCATTTTAAAAACATTGAAACATTATCGGATTACACAATGATAAAAGCTCATAATTTAGAACAAACTGTTAAACTGTGAGAAAAAAAATTAAATTTTTTTTTTAAATTATGTATTCAAACATATTTTACTTTTCATTCCATGAATGAAAAAAAAGTAACATTTTCCACGTTAACTGCGGTTATATGTTGCAATTCCAAGAAAAATCTTGTTTTTAGACACTTGTGTGGCCTATGGATTCCGAACGAGCATCAAACATTCTGAAAATTAAGTGTTCATATTTAATAACAAATATGTTGACACCATCGTTTAGCTAAAATTACAAATTTTGAAATTTATATGATTTTTTTTAAAGGAAAGCTAAGCTTAAGTGCTCCTTCACTGGTTAGTTTACCCTATAAGATGTTGAGAAATTTGCGATGCTGTGAGAGATGCTTACAAAACACTTTAGTTCAATTAAACTCATGAATAAAATTAGCCTTAATATATTCCATTACACAAGCATAAAATAAAGAATAAAAGACAATAAGAAAGTATATAATAAAAATTATATAGAGCCTATAACTATTATTACCTTTCTCTAAAGTGAAAACAGAAGTTTCTTTTCCTAAAACTATTTCAACTTCTGGAATGCAATACACTGGGAACAGATACCTCACAACTAAACAGCGCTGAAAAATAAGCAATTATTAACTTATTATAAATGCTGAATTCTCCGATGGAATAAAAAAGGGCAGGGAAAATGTATAATATCAAAATGTGTAATATTATGTAATAACTGAATTTGATCATCAACAATTTTTAAATTACCCTCCTATACTATTTTATGTGTATATTTCAAAAAATAATTCTCTCTATCATTATCAAAATAAGAGAAAATTTGTAGTTTATAAAAATAATTAAAGAGGATTGCTGCGCATAAACGTTTTAAAAAAAAAATAAATAAAAATGAAACACTGAAAAATATTTCACTGATATACTATGTGAAAGCATTTTTTGATAATTTAAACTGAAAATTATGAGAAAATAAACATTTAAGGCTAATTGTTCTTTTTTTTTTTTAAAAAAAAAAGGTATGTATTTAAAAAACAATTTTAAAATCACTCAAAAAATTTATGAATATACTGACCTACTAAAAAAGATATAATTATAATAATTTAATCAATGGAAAATAATCTTAAGAATGTAAATATTTGTAATAGTAATCAGAATTAAATCTAGAAACACAAATAATTTTATCAGTGTGTAATTATTATTTAAAGAGTGAAATATTTCTTGTCAAAATGGAATATGAATAAAAAGATAGTGTTTTTAAGGGATGGTGGCTTATTTTTACAAAAAGGTCAATGAGAGAGAGCATTTATAGGGATCAAGGGGGGAGGGGCAGGCCACCCTTCTAAAAATTCTTAGGTAGAACACTGATTAATGTATCACTGCAGACTTCATCAAAGAAGTGTACCAATTGGCAAATGATTTTTAATGAATTTTCTCAACAAAGAAAAAAAAAATAAGAAGAAAACATTCCAAACTTTCGCAGTGTTAATAATTTTAATTTCTAGAATGCAGCACACTGGAAATGGGTATCTCACAATGAAAATGATCACAGCACTATCAATAAAATAGTTAAATAAAATATGTAAGTAAAATAGAATTTTTTAAAAAAAGAAGAAGAATGGATTGTATACAGGTGGTATTACTATCACAGTGACAAACTTCTAGGGGAAGTCGGGTGCATAATAAGGATTGAGAATCTAAATTATCTTAATTTTATGTTTTCTTCTAATTATTGTCGAAAATGACATTTAAATTGGTTCAGCATTTGATTTTTAATCCTAATTTAAAGATATTGGCTAGTATGTCAAATTAGTAGCAAAATCTTTAAATAAAGATACTGAACCAATTTAATTGCCATTTTTGACATTAATTATTAAAAAAACATTTAATTAAAATTAGATAAATAAAAATATCTTTTAAGAGATAAACATAGAAACTGCTTATAATAGGAAGCATCCCTATAAGCATAACAACATTTCTGGTCATGGGTTTCAATGCAATTCTTAATCCTTATGATAAGTTTGTAAGTGTGGTAGTGATACACCCTACACAACTAGTCAATATTAGATCAAAATATTTCTCGTTTTCTATTTTTTTTTTATTATTGTAATAAAATATTAATTTGATGAAAAAAATTAATAAAAAAACTTTGTTTACTTCTTAATTATTTTATGTATTACCCGAAAGAAAATATTCCAAACTAAAAATTAAGTTTAATTCAACAGAATAGCAGAATTTTCTGCTATAAGGTAGGTAAAAATCATTAAAAAAAAAAACAGTTGAAAATTTAATCAAAATTTTTTATACTTTCTTAAATAAATGAAATATTAGAAATTTAAAAATGGAATAATTTATGCTTTTTTTTAATTTAAAAATTAATTTAAATTTATTTTTAAATTTTATTATTATTAAATTGACTTACTTTTTAAATGTCTTATTTCTTAAAACTAAAGTCAATTAAACAAATTTTATAAGTAACCTGATGCAAATAGTAATTGAATATTCTCATCATTTTTTAAACAATTTTTAAACCTGAGATAAAAAAAAAAATTAAAAAAACTGCAGATGCAGGGATAATCAGCTGTGCCTGCTGCCGTTATGAAAGGTTTTTGCTACCAGGCACATGAAAAGGATACACTAAAACTAATGTAAAACAATAAGAATAAAGCATGAATAAAAAACCTAGCTTGCCAGCAATTAGCTTTTTGCGAATTAAGTAGGGAAATTGCACCTTTTACTTGACAGACCATCGCAAGGATGAAAGTACTTCTTAGCACAGAACCCCAGAAACAGATGGCAGCACCACCCATACGTAAAACAAATTCATCAACTTAAACATAGGGAAAAAAATTTCTCCAGATTCCTGTACCCATGGTACTTCTCAGCGGCTGACTACAGAACCGATTTAAGATTTTCTGAGCTTGTATATCACATACACTCAGTGGGCCTTAACGAAGTGGAAGATCGAACTCGGCTTGAGGTCAATTCTCTAACCACTGGGCTATTGAAATGGACATACTATAAATTTATTTGTATAAATAAGAACCCTCCCCAGTGCTTTAACACCGAATGACATTAATGAGCAAAATGGTTAAACCAGTAGGGACATGGAAGCAAGCTTGGACAAGGTAATAAAAAAAGTGAGATAAGAAACATGCTTGAAGGGGTTTGACAGGACCCCTCATGGTGTAAGATGTAGAAATTAAATTAAAATAGATTTCTGAAGGTTGGAAAAGAATGGGATACTAGAAAGATCACTAACTAAATTATTAGACTTAGTTAAAATATGGAATGATTCCAAGTAATCAAAGTCTGTAGATGAAGAATAGTTTTGAATGATTTTAGCTGAAGGAAAACTTAAACCTACACTGTAACTCCTGATTTTGGGCACATCAAACCTTGACTCAAATTCCTGATTTCAGACACATTTTATACGTCCTTAAACTCAAAATTTAAGGGTATGTTTTCTTTATCCAATATATCCCAGACCACACTGACATGAAATTTGAGAAATATCCCAGCCATTAGTATCAGCAATAGGATCTTTAGGGTTGTTAAATTAAGTTTTTTTTTAAATCAGGTACTAAACGATTTTAATCTTAAATTTATTTAAAATTTTAACTTTACAACTTAGCGCTCAACATTACGGTGTTGATTTCACAAAAACCATTGCACAAGGCTACGTACGTATTCAAATAACAAGCAATACATTTTTGCCAATATTTATCTTAGTACAGGTTTTATGAAATGATTGAGCCTCAAGTTAAGTCTTAATAACATAAAATCCCAAGATATGTCAGAAAAAATAATGAAAATATTTAAGAGAGAATCCTCAGACTTAATAGTTTTAAGAACCTTTTATATAGATAGTTTAAACTTTTTATTTCTATTGTTGTTTGTAACAAAATAAAATAATTTTAAAAATATCTATTGAATCATGAATACTGACCTCTTTATACGATGCTCGCTCACTCACTTCATCAATATTCAGACTCATAGAATTAGTAGCAATTACAGCATCAGTTTTAGCACATTGTGATGTCCCTGTTGAAATCAGAACAAAGTTTATCTTTGGAAATATTAATTTAGGCAAACAAAATTTCATTTTTTTATGATGCTGAATATCATAAGAATAGAATAACAATGAAGTATAGAATTAGTAACATTTAAACAGTAATATAATAGAATTAGTAACAATTACAGCATCAGTTTTAGCACATTGTGATGTCCCTGTTGTAATGGAAACAAAGTTCATTTTTTGAAATATCAATTTTGTCAACAACAAAAAAAATTATATTGTTTTATAATGGTGAATATCGTAAGAATAGAGTAACAATGAAGTCAATAAAATTTCAATTCAGCATAATTTCACACAATCAACTTATAGATAGGCTTGTAAACAAATATATAAAGTGATGATGAGAAACTAACATTCAAATATATCTTGTTTTAAAGCTAAGTCTTCCGGCACTGCTTCAAAAATAAAGTCTGCTGACTTTACGGCTTCTTCCAATCTACTCATGTAATAAACATCACCCTAAAAAAACGATAAGCTTTAAATCCATATGAAGCAATCATAATACAAAAATCTAAAGTTTAAGAGGAAATACATTTTTAAATGCATAAAAATATTATGAATGGTTCTTTTACAGTTGACAGTAATTTAATATTGAAAGGAAAAAGTTAAGAAGTGTTTAAAAAATTAAACAGTAATACTATATTAAAAATTAAGATATTCAGCATAAAAATTACCAAGAAAAAAAATCTCCTTGCCAATTAGAGTTTTAAATTATAGCCTCTAAAGCTTTATTTTTTCAACTTTATTTTTTACAAGGATTCAAAAAAATATATATATTAAGAGTAATTATTATAGAACAAACTGTACGAAAGAAAAAAAAAAGGATATTGAACAAACACATTTATCTTCTATAGGAAAATAGTGAACAGAGGTCAAACACATTTCAAAGTTTTCTTAAGAGCAGTCATTAGGTAACACAAATAAATACATAAATCATTTTGATTCAATAAATAAGCATATTAATGAATAAGCTAATCTGTATTTTAGTGAATGGGTGGAAAAATTTTTTTTTTTAATTTAACAAAAGTCTGCTTGAACAGCAATTTAATTTTAAACTATAAACTTTTCACAAAATTTATTGTCATGAAAAGAAACAAAGAAAAAAAAGATAACCAGATAAAAGTAAAGTATATATAAATGTTATTTTCATAATCTTTTTCAGACATCCTATAGATACATTTCGTACATAAAAATGACTGTTTCATACATTTTATGGAAGACATACTTACTAAAAATTTAGGAGATGTCAAGACCCCATCTTCCGTGAGAAGACGCGTATCTTCCTGAATTCGTAGGCGAACATGATCCAAAGCTTCAGGGCTGCGGTCGTACACCCGAACTTCATGTCCGTGGTAGGCTAATTCTCCTATGAATGAATTAAATGATAAAATATTTATGGGAATATCATACAATACAGTTAAATAAATATATATATTTGGATAATTAAGAAATATCCTTTTTTATTAGATTAACCATACACTGAGTGAACCATTTAATTTAAAGCAGGGCATTTCAGCCGGAAAAAAACCTCTCCCAGGAAAATTGCTGAATGGCAAAAATTAAAAATTATCATTACAATTGTTTAGCAATTATAATTATAAGAATAGCTTAAATTTAAACAAGGTATTTTTTAAAAAAAAAAAAAAAAGAATTACTTTTTTTCACATTATTTAATACAGAATTTTTAAACTTAAATATCATAATACTTAAGAGTATGTTTCAGTCATAATTATTAACAGCATTTGATTATAAAACTTAGTAAGATAATTGTAATTGTAAATTCCCTACACATTATACTATTGGACATATTCGTAGTAGTGTGTATGTTAAAAAGATTTGTTAAGTAATTTCAGTAAAATAAGATTATATTTTAATAATGCTTTAACATATTTAAGAAATTATGTTATACTTTACTCCTTAACATAATATGTTAAAGAACTGCAGTTATTTTACTCTTGGTTCAAAGTAAAATGTATCTACATGATATGTGGCAATATTTTCTGACTTGATAGAACCAGACTACAGTAGTAGTCACATATACACTAAATTTTAAAGTAGTAGTCACATATACACTAGTGGCAGCCCTTCACACTCTCGCTCCACAGGTCTTGGGTTCGAATCTCGGGAAGGGCAAGGTTGCCTCAGCATTTCATCATCTTCAGTGGATCGATAAAATGATTACCAAGCATGCTTGGGGACTGAACACTTTTAATATAATCATGATTCAAGCTTTGATTTTATAATTAATATCAGGGGTCAGTCCAAGCCAAATTTACTACCGTTTAGCGGTACAAAATATTTGGGTCGAATGTTCAACCAAGTATTTTTCTGTGGAATTTGAATAGATTTAATAAATAAGATAATTTTTCTAGATTTAATAATCTAAAATGGCATTTTTAACTATGCATTATTAGAAATAGTTTATACACAAATTTGTTAAGTTCTGAAACTTACACACGATTTGCATATTTATATCCTAGCTAAGCTTTCCAAACCTACATTTTCTTTAAAAAAATTTACTTTTTTGACATTATTAATTTAAACTTTATACAGAATTTTAAAACCTATATATCATATTATTATTCAACAGTTAGTTTGAGTAATAATTCTTAACAGCATTTGATTATAAAACTTAGTAAGCTAATTGTTAATTCAATACACATAATACACTTCAACATATTCGTAGTAGTGTTTAAAAGATTTGCTAAGTAATCACAATAAAATAGGGGATATTTCCGTATCGTGATCTGTCAAGCCTACAATCGCCAAATAGATTTCAAATTTTTATTAAAAAAATATGCAGTTGTTTGTCTGGCGGTGGCTACGAGCTATACCTTTCGAGTTTGTCTATTTATGTGATGTTTTTTTTTAGTTTCTCGAGGGCCACTGCCAAGACTTGGCGATTATTCTGCCACAGATCAGGATACGGAAATCCCCCCATAAAATAAGATTATATTTTAATAATTCTTAAGAACATAATTAAGACATTCATAATTAAGAAAATAGGTTACATTATACTCCTTTACATAATATGTTAAAGAACTACAGTAATTTTATTCTCGGACAAAAGTAAAATATACAAACTGCAAAGTGCCAGCAATATTCACAACTATTGATAACTCATTCGACCTAATTGGCGATTATTTTTACTTAGATCACAATAACTAAATATTCCCTTTTTGAGTATTGAAAATAATATAATATAAATCCTTTTATAAAAACTTCTCCATTTAAAATAGAATAATAGAATACATCTGAAAAATACATATATTTGTAGATTTCCTCGTAATAAGGTAAAGTAATAAATATTCGACGCAAACATTACAGAAGGAATTATAACAGAGCTATTATTTTTATAATCTAACTTACCGACTATTTTCACTCCCAAGCTTCCACCTCCGATAACAGCAACTCTGACCATTGGTAAGCAATTTTTAAAACGAATAATTAAACGAAGAATATATTTACAACTTTCTTTCCATAAACTTAGCTTCAACAAAAGTTCAAGTTTCTGTATTAAATGAAAACAATACACATACGTTTAAACAGTGATAAGATAGTTTCCATTTTATCAACAACAATATGATAAGGCTTTTTTAGTGATAAAATTTCATTAAAGATATCTGAAATAAAATGATTGACAAAAAATTAAATTTGACTTGAAGAAAAACAACAGCACGAGGTGTGTTTATTTTCGAGAACGCATGTTGCCATAGAGAAAGAAAGGAATACAATAAGCTCACCTTATTGGTCGCTTCGTGTCATGTGGCAACATGTCATTTCTTTTGAAATGGTTTTGAAATATTCTTTTTCGTTTTATGACTGACTGGTTTCGTTTCCAAGGCTAAAAATAATTGAAGTAGAAATTTAAGCAGTTAAGGAACTCTTAAGTGTAATTAGATGTACTAACTTCCGGATTGCAATTTTTCAAGAAAAATAAACGATATGAAACTAAATTATAATTTATTGAAATTGACTTGCCTAATAACAATTAAAAGAATAAAAATAAACGTGGAGGTTTTTTTTAATGTTTTCAATGGTTTTTAATTCAAACGACACATTCATTCAAACAAAATTCGATTTTATTTAAATTTTTCTGGTGATTCCACGATGTTAAATAAGGTGTGATCTTTGCTGTAGAAAGAAAAGTTTAGATGATGCAAATTACTGTGAATTTTTGAAATTAGAAAAAGGCTTAGAATAAAAAATTTCTATAATTCATTACAAAAGAATTTCTAACTATGAAGCTTGCTTGCTTTTTCATTTATTTATTTAGATAGTGCTTTGAGTAGAAAATATTCTGAAATAAAACTTTTTTCTTTTATTAAATAGAAAAATTTGACCGAAATTTTCGCTATTTTGGAAATTATTAGTTATTGGGGTTAAAGCAATAATTAAAAGACAAATTTAAAAACTGGGCCAAACCTGAAAATGTATTTTCACTGTAAAACGAGTTATTAATTTTTTGAAACGGAAATTGATGTCGTCAAGAAAGAAAGAACAAATCAACTTTAAGAACTTACTTTTCTGTATGTATTTTTCGGTTAGCCAAGCCCTTAAGGGCGCCGGCAGAGGGGTGCTCTTGCACCCCCTGGCTTTTTTTTACAAAAAACAATTAAAGAGATACAGAAAAAAAATTTTGTTATAAAAATTTTTTACTAAAAACATTTTTATTCAAAAACAAATAATTAAGTACTAATTATTGATACATAACAATAAATTGTTTAATCAAACAAGAATTGTAATCGTCTTGTTTGCTGTCCAAATCTGTTAATAACTTTTTCAATGAATTCTGAGTCATCTTTAATTCTTTTCTTATACACACTAAGAATGCACAAGCTTGGCAGATCTCTAAGCTATATTTTTAAATTTCATGTAATAAAATATAAATTATATGGTCTTTTCTATTAGTTATTTAGTTTAACAAAGGTGCATAACACAAACTAACTTCTCACCACTGCAAAACTTCATCAACACAATAAATACCAATATTAAGCGTTCACAAACACTCTAGCATACGTCTATAGCGCTAGTATAGCTACTGTTTGTAGTTATTTGTGTTTCAAAATCAGTATGCCAGCGCCATCAATAAAGTTTATCGTCGCAAAATTTGCAAGCGCAAGAAATTCGTACTTTTTTTTAAATATCTCGTTAACGATGAAGAAATGTATCTTAAAAAAATTAACAGATGAAAGTATATGTAAAAACAAAATAAAATGTAATAACAGAATATTTAAAAAAAAAATTTCTTTTATTTTTTTTTTGGGGGGGGGGGTAGTTTGTTAGAGGGTTGCACCCCCTTTTAGCGCCCTTGCAAGCCCTAGTAAATTCAAGTACCATTTTGTTTTGGAAACTAAGCAAAATTGTCCCCCCCCCCAAAAAAAAATTATTTTTTAATTTTCTTGCTCCCGGCTAGGCGAGTAATCCAGTTTTTTTTTTTTTAAATTATGTTTTTTTAATTAATCTGCTTCAAGGAGTCCCTCGTATATTATACTATGTACACATGATGTGCAATGAACAGTGTGCAAAGAAAAAAAGGAACAAAAATGAAAGAAAAAAAAATTATCACCCTGAATAATGATTAGATTTATTTAACGATCGGACCTTCCCGTTCTGAGGCTCAATATTAATGGTTCAAGTGTGTGACTTCAAATATGCTATTTCATTAGTACAGAGAATATTTTAAGTTACAAAACCAGACACGAAAACTTACTTTCTCTGTCTAAACATACAACATGGACATGCTGTGACATGGACAATAATGGAAGAGATATTTTCAGTTTATGAAATTTTTTTTAAATTTCTCAAGAAATACTTAAAGGATTATTTCGTAATTTAGAAATGTCTAGTTCATGCAATTTTTCACACTGAGCAATAAATTTAAAGCTTTCAGTGGCTTGCGAAACCTACAATAAATTACGAGAGAAAACAAGTAATTTTATACACCCTATGACGGAAAATCAAGCAATTAACTTGTAAATTGCATCGATTACTTAAGTTGTTATTTTTAAAAATTATATAAAATTTCGCAATCCTAGAGTAAATATTTATGAAGATATGGACATTTTTATAAAAAATTAACTTTTTCGCCTTACTTTTTTTCGTTATAGCTTTACAGATATTCAATGGAATTAAACAAAATTTCTGGTGCAGTTTAAAACTAAACATAAAATTGTCGATTTAAAATTTTAAAAAAATTCGTTCAAAACTACGAGAGTTATGAGTCATTGAGCTAGTTATTTTATATTGCGGATGCAGTCGAAAATTTTAAAAAAGTTTTTTCATAATTTTGTAGTGTATTTGGTAACCAATAAAAAAAATTTGATTTAAATATCTTAAAAATTTAAAAAGTTTCAAGCAATTTTCTAAGTAGTTTTAAAACTTTTCAAAAGAAAGCTCAAAACAATCAGGGTTTTTCACAAATCTTATTTTGTTTCAGATAAGACGATATTTAATAACAAAAGATAATACCTTTGCAATAATCGTTCGAAACCTAACGTTTGATGGTATGCATAGAGAAAGAAAACGTGCAAAAGATAACAGACTTTCAGGGGGGGGGGGATCCTTCACAATGCCGGTCTCAATTTTTATAAACCTTGTTTAATAGTACAAGATGAATTTGTGAATAGCCCCTTATCGTTCCAGGTTTTTTTTTCGTCTAAAAAGTACAAAAACTACTTCAAAAATCGCCTGAAACTTTTTACATTTTTAAGATATTCAAATAAAGCTTTCATCATTTGTTGCCAAATAAGATTCACTACAAAATTATGAAGAAAAAATTTTGTAAATTTTTCTCTAAAATCTTTGCACACGATTATAAGATTTGTTTCTCCAAACATAACTCAGTGCAAAAATAACTGTTAGTTTATATTTATTATTTTTTAATTAATAATAGTCGGAAAAAATTTTGAATTGTAAGGTATACAATTTTTTTTTCAATCATTTTAAAAAATGTAATTTTACAAGGCAAAATACAGAATTTGAGGGAACGCTTTCTTCATTAATCGAATTATTCCTTCATTATATCGTTCATCAAGATATATATCGTTCATTATATCATATATCAAGATATCGAATATTTAAAAAGGCATATTTTTGAAATTCGATTTCTCAAGAATTATTCGGCCGGTTTTGCTCACATTTTGTCACGAAAAATTACTTTCTTTGAAATAATGTAAGAAAATGCATACCTTAAAATTTAAATTTTTTTCGATCATTATCAAATGAAATAAAATAAACAAATAATAAATATTTACTAAAAGTTATTTTTTGCATAGAGTTTTCAGGTAAGCAAGTTTTATAACTGTGTGCAACATTTTTTTGAAAAGTTCTCAAGAGATAGCGATGTACGCAAAGAATAAAATTAACATTTAGGGTCCAAAGATTTTGACTATTTTCCTATTGACAAAAACTATTGGGATCATACATCCCAGATAGCAGCTATCCCCTATATCGAGGGGGGGGGAGACAGAAATCAGAATCCGTCGAAAAAAATGTATATTTATTCAGAGAAATTACGTTTTAGTGTCTGATTTCGTAACTTTCGTCTGCATTTAATAATTAGTATATTTGAGGTCACCTCTACAAACCATTAAGATTAAGTTTTGAGAGCCAATCATTAGATTATTAGGATGGCCCGTTCATTTCTTGTGCACTATATATACAATGTATGCATGTATCCGGAAATTTTTTTTCTTCCCATTGGCAAAATAGGTGTAGTTTTGGGTTTGATGGTGTGCTCACCTTATTTGGACATCATCACACTTTTCAACAGTGTTCCAAAGTAGTAGTAAACAGAGCGCATGCGTCGTCATTGCATGCGTTGCTGTGACAACAGCTGCTGTTTGATAATTATTTTAGAATTCTTTTCTTCACTTTTAATTTTGTTATGCATTAAGTTGGTGAGTTTATTTTTGAGATATGGGACCAGAGAGATCCCATAAATACTTCTTGAGTTAAGAATAAAAGAGAATTTCATCATTTGAAAGATATTTTTATTTTTATTGTTTTAATTAAGAATGAGAAATTCTAAACTACAGTTCAAACTGGATCGTTTTCAATACTAATTCAGGTGAATATCACAAATAGAGAGGGTAAAAAAAAAATTAGACAGCAACTATTTTGCCAATGGGATGCTTTTGCCTTTCTGCGATCACTATTTATTATTATTATTATTTATTTATTTTTACTAATTTTTTTCACATACCATTTCATTTCTCTTTTGCAAAAGGATGCAGGATATACATAATATGAATAAGAGTTAAAATTAAGAGAAAAGCATCATATTGTAATTGTATTTTAATGTGAAAGCGTTTCAAACAGTGGGGTGGGCTTAACAATGTTTGAGCACGCTCATGATTATTCTAAATCCGCCAACATGCCATAGAATTTGATCATTACCCTGTTATGAAATAATTGTTTGTTACGTAATTTTTAAAAACCGCAGATTTATCTTCGAAGATGTAAGCTTCTGCGGTTTCGTTGTGACTCATCGATGCTAATCAAGGAAAACAATTACGGAAGCCGAATGAAGAAATTAC